GAAGTCGTAATCTTGATTCACCCTGGCCGAGACGCTGCGCTCCTCCAGGCGAGACTTCATGCCCCGCCACGCCAGCAGCTTCCCCTTCGGGTCGAGCGCCTCCTCGGCCTTCCTCTTGTGCGACGTCAGGTCGACCGCCGCCCGAGTCCCCAAGGGGGGCGGGGGACGACGGTCCTCCTGGGCCTCCGCCAGCGCCGTCAGCAGGCGCTTCTCCTTGGGAGACATGTGGCGGTTGTGCTCCTCCTCGCCAGCGCTCCAACCCCGGAGGCTCCGGGAGCCAGTCGGCGCCGCCGCTGGCGCACGGGATAGGGTCCCAGCTGCCTGCTTCCTGCCGACCAGCTGCCTCTCCTCGCTCTCGCGCGGCAGCAGCGCGGGCCCGGCGGCGAGCGTCCGCCCGCTCCTCACGGCGTGAGGGTTCGTCTGCAACATTGAACTCGCTGGGCACCCAGCGCGGCCGAAGGCGACTGTTGGTGGCGAGCAAAAGGGCGCTCGCCTGCTGGCATACTCTGAGCAAATCATATGAGCACGCACGGCCCTTGGACAGCGCGAAGCGCAACCCCATGTTATCGACGAGCAACAAATGCCGCTTCCCAAAATTACGGTGAGCCCGAGAAAGACGTCTTAGCGCCAAGATGACCGTCCTACCTTCCTTGATCGTGATATGTTCGTCCAGGAACTTCCAGGTACCATACAAGACGACGTCCCAGGAATCCTGCTTCATGAGACCTAAAGGCACCTCGGGGAAATCGGGGTCCTCAGTGTACTGGAAAGAGTCCCAATCTCCAGCATCGTCCCAAAGGCCCTCCTTGGAGACCCCGGGGGCCCAGACGCACCCAGCGGAAGCGAGGTCCTCTTGGGGGTCCAACCCCAGGGAACGAGACCTTGGGGCCCACTGGTCGGGCGCGAGTCTTTTGAAACGCCACCTCTCAGTCCACCTCCCGATCCTTCGGACGCTCTCCACATCAAGATCACGCTGGCAAGCTCCGTACCCCGTCGGCGAGGCATCGGTGCACGTGACAGTGGGATTCCACTCCTGACGAAGATCAGCGACGGCGAGCGGCAGAAGACCAGTCACAATACGACACTCTTTGCAGCAGCTCTGCCAGAGACGTTCGGGCCCGCAGCTCTGCGCCAAGAAGTTATACAAGTGCCGCAAGACTGGGAGCGTGCTTCGATTCAACATAGCGATATAAATGTAGTGCCCGATAAGCTTCTCAACGGTTTTTGCGGATACCACGGGCCCAGTACTCAACCAGTCAAACACCACGATCAACTTCCAAAGCTTGTCGGGGTCCGGGCTGAGAGTACCTGCATCCCCATTTAGAACCGAGCCCAGCACGCGGGCGACGAGGGACGGTCCCGAGATGTCGTGTATGGTGAAGCCATCCTGCTCCATGTCTCTCTGAACATCATCACGCAGCTCGCCAGCTAGCTTGCACGACAAGGCGCCCGCATTCAAATTATCACAGTACGCCATGTAGACGCGCTCGCCTGCCTGCATGCTCGGGACGGGGTGCCCGTCCACTAGAACGAACTTATCCGAGTGCCTGCATGCTCGGGACGGGGTGCCCGTCCACTAGAACGAACTTATCCAAGACCTCCCTACGTGCAACTTGCATGTGATATTCTTGGACCAACCAGAACGACCAGGTAAAACCCATGGGCAGGACAGTCAAGCACATCGATACCTTCTCATCCAATCCGAAATCACTCAATAACTCCCCCGATACACCAGCTTCCAGAAGATCCCCGACGACGGCATCAACCTCGAACGCGAAGAAATCTGAAAGCTCATCGGAGATCCCGCACTCGTAGAAACAGTCCTTGATGTCACCCTCAGCCCAATACAGGGCCTGACCTACGGGGATCTCCAGGTCACTCAAAGAACATAAACCACCTAGCTCTGTGTGCGGAGGAGGGGAGAACCTAAGATTACTTTGACGGCATTCGAGAACCAAGCGTTGCATCCCCGACTTCTTTAAAACCGTGAACGCCCCGATTCGAGCAGCAGGGCGCCGAGTGAACCACAAGTCCCCGAGAGGCCATCCTGGAGGCAAAGCCTTGAACCCCCAGGGGGTCTTCAAAAGCGGGTCCGTGTAAGGGGGCACTCGGGATGCCTCGTCGGACAGCTGACTCCAGACCGCTGCCCCGACGAGCATCTTGTCTTCAAAATTCCGAAGGCATTCCTGAGGCAAACCTACCAAGACTGACTCCAATTCAACAGGCGAGCGCTCCACGTCCGGAAGCGAAAGTTTCTCCCAAACCATGGGGACCCGGGTACCCTGCCCCAGGTCCCCTGCATAGTCATGCCGAAAAACCCGAAGCTCCTGAAGGGCTCCTGGGCGGGTGACACTCGGAGGCTTAGGGCCCAGCTCACGAACGCGCCCCATCAGATGACCGAGAGCAGCGCGCTGGCACTGCGGCAACGTCATCAGGTCTGAGACGGCAGGAGGGGCGGGCACATCACGAGCACCAAAGTACATCGAGTTGAGAGCGTCCACCGACTTGTTGACTGCAGCGGCCACAGCCCACCGACGTGTCAGGCGTCGCGTCGTCGAACGGCACATCCGTCGCAGGTCGCCTCGTCGCCCCTCGGCGAGTCGAGGCAAAGGAATATATCGCGGTACCTGCTCGGGACGTTCTCTCCCTCAGCAAAAGCGGCCTCGCTGCACGGCTTGGCCATGACTCAGGACAGGTAGTCGTGGCGAACGGGAAAAGTCGAAGCCCGCCCTCCACGTGCTGCACACAGGCTCTGGCGGGGCGCCGAGGTGCGGTCGAGCCAATCCGCACCTCAGATCTTTCAGACAAGCCAGCCCCGGCGGCGTCGGCGCCAGCTCCTCCACCCCGGCCGCCACGTCCGCGGCCACGCCCAGGTGCAAGCGAGCGCGCCTCCGCCGCCTTGCGCTTCTCCTTCGAGATGGCCGCCTCAGCCCGCAGCCGGTCCGACACATGGGCAGTCAGCGCGGGTGACACCAGCGCTCCCCCAGCTCGCATCCCGTCGCCCATGAAATGAGCTGCTCCCTCGTAGCTCGGAGCACTCGGGTTGGCGTGGTGAGCTTCGGCGATCAACTGGCGCCTGCGGGCCACTGCCTCCATGCACGCGAGGTTCATCACGTTGAGCCCGTCGTACGTCACCGCGAGCTCCTGCACCAGCGCCAGGTTAGCGTCCTCGTGGACTGAGCGATCTCCATCCGGTATCTTTGCCTCCGAGAGCCACTTTGAGTGCTGCGCCCGTGGCCCTTCAGCCAACTTGATCATCTCGCGGCACATCCACTCCGTAGTCCGAGGGCCGCTCAGCGGCCAGTCGTCGAACTCCGTCATGGTCATCTCCTGCACCGACTGCCTGAACTCTCGCCTTCGAGTCCCGTCGGGCCCGTACTTCACCGAAAGCGTCCGCACGTCGTCACCGACCGCCTGGTCCTGACCATGCGTCGCCGTGGCTGCTCGGCACCACTTGATCCGCTCCTCGCATAACGTGTCGATCTCCGCCTGGTAGTTATTCAGTTGCTTGACCAGAACGGGCCGCGGGATCTGCATATTCGGCAGCACCATGAGTCCGTAGCCGTTCGCCTGGGCCGCGCCTGCGGGCATCGTGACGATCTCGCCGATGCTATGGCCGTCCACGTGCTCCGCGAGCACCCACGCGACGGCAGGGGCCACTGGCCCAGCGCCCCCCGCAGCGGCGCCTGCCCCGCTGCCGGCTGGGCCGCCCGCGACACCCGCGACCCCCCCTCCGCCGCGGAGGGCGACGACGCCGACCGCCTCGGCCAGCAGCTGGTCCACCTCCGCGTCGGTCGGCGGCTGCTGGAAGCGGTGCAGGCGCGCTCCACCCAGCCGAACGGCAGCTCCCCGTTGTCACCGAGGAACCTCACCATGTCGAACACGTTATGATCACTCATGTCCTCGTCGTGCACATCGAAGTCTGGGGTCGCGATCGTGACGAGCCCTCCTACCATATCATTCAGGAAGACCCGCTCGTGTGACAAGTCCTCGCCCGCGCCCGCGTACTTCACCAAAGCCCGTCGAAGCATCGCTCCCCCTGGTCCCGTCGGCAAGGGCCACCCGTCCGCTCCCCGGACTCGAGGACCTGGAGGAGCTGGTGGCCCGACTGGAAGCCCAACTAGCGCCATACTGAACGCACGTGACGGTCACCTGCACGAGCGAGAAGAACAGGCAGACCACTGCACACGCGATGAGCTGCCACGCCTGGTGACCCCCGCCGCTGGAAGCCGACACCGCCTCCCACTGACAGTGGCAATGGCAGATCGGTTCCGGGATGTCTGGGCACCTGACATCCGCTCTCCCCGCCACTCGTGCGGCTTCCGCGGCGTCCGAGAAGACGCCCCGCAGGACCCAGGCCGAGAAGGCGGTGACCACGCTGCTGGCCGCGACCTGCACCGACGCGGTCGAGGCAAGGAACCCCCAGATCATCAACCGCGGGGACGGTCCGTGCGCTCCTGTTGCGCAGCAAAGAACCTTGAGGGTTGACAACGGCCGCGGGGAGGAACGATCAATGCTGTGCACCGCACTCTCATAAGAGCCAACTGCTCTGCCAAGTGCTCCTTCAGGAGAGCCGCGATCCCATCACTGCTGTAGCAAACATCACGACAAAACACGAAGTGCGTTGTGTCTACATGTCCCGCGAGAGCGCCCGAAATGGTATACACCACCACTGCCCTAACTCCCTTCCTACTCTGGGGTAGGCGGGGGAAACTGGGGGATGGGGAGAACGGGGAAGTCCCGGAGCAGAGGCGAATGCAGGGGAACGGGGGAAGAGGAGGGCGGAAGTAGTGTAGGACGGGAGGGCAGGAGGGGATGAGGGGCAGGTGGTGAGGGGAACGGGGGGGAGGAGGAGGGGGAGGCGTGAGGAGGGGGGAGAGAGGTCAGGGAGGAGAAGGACCGATCCCCAAACGTCCAGCTATGGCTGAATCGCGGACACAAGGCATGGGCCACGGCGAGCGTGAGCCGCGTGCGGGTCGTCGGCGCACCTGACGCCCCGCGTCCTGCTTATTCTCGATCGTCTTCATCACGATCTCGGCGTTCATGTGGTCCGCCATGCGCTGGTCGAGATGGCTCTCGACAGGGAGCGGCTCGTAGATGAACTGCGAGGGGGGACGGACGCCCATAGAGAAGGACGGAGAAGGGGAAGGAGGGAGAGCTGGATGGAGGGAGGTAGGAGTGACGAGAATCTGGGATGATGAAAAGGACAAGGAGACGGAGGAGGAGGAGGAGAGGAGGATATTGAAGAGGAAGAGGAAAAGGAGGAGGAGAGGTATCAGACAAAAGGACAAGCATTTCCTCTGCTCTCGGAAATTCAAACGGTCCAAAGGGTTTCTGAGCAAGTGATCCTGAGAGGATGGGGAAATGCAGGCACCACGTCCAACCGTAGCGACGAGGGGGCCGCGACCGTGGGTGCTCCATCACCCCTGGGGTGGGAGACGGGCGTAAGGCGCGGGCACGGAGAAGAACGAAGGAGCGGGCACGAGAGATGAGAGAGACGTAAAGAGCGGACACGAGGCGGAAGGAGCTGGTGCGCACGCACGAAGCGCACTTATCCTCGCGCCTGGTGGGTACACCAGCATGAGACGAGTATCTGGGACCTGTCACCTGGCACATGCGCACCTGAGCGGCCCCTTGGCGGCAACCGGAAGGGGGTGGGGCGAGGTGCGGCAGCCTCCGAAGAAGGCAAGGGGCTTCTCCGAAGAGATCTGCCCCCTCCGACGGGCCGGTCACAACCTTCCCAGACGACAAGAAGTACGCCCGAGAGGCGAAGCACCCTCTGAAAAGGGCCGCCTCACTCGGCCTGCCGGCCTGCCCCCTTCCACGCGCCGCCCGCTGGGAGGGGCTCTGATTTGACCAGCGTCTGGTCGACCAAGTAGCTAGACGTCCCAGCTTCCGAAGCTGTGGGATGCTCGCCGAAATTCTTGGCTTCTTTCTTCTTTTCCCCCTGCGGCTAGAATCGACCCTCGCGGTACTCTACACCACACGGCATTGCTCCTCCGAGCCCGAGGGCGCGCGCGCCGACAACGCGCGATCCGGGCGCCGCGGCGCCACGTACACATCCCGCTCGTTAACGGGGCAGGCAAAGATGACAAGGGTCAGACAACCGCACAGGAGGCAGCCACCGAGGCCAGGAACGTCTCTGCCCCCTGGCCGACCACTACTTGTTTACCGTTCACACTCACTGGTATGTAACGAACCCTCTGCGCCCAACTCGGCTCAGGAGAAACTCGGGAGCTCATCTGGTATAGGACGGCTTGGCGTCGGGGCAAGTGGTGGCGTGACCTCGGCAAAAGCCAGCTGGCCTGATCAGTAGCGGCTTGAGCCAAAATGGCTACGGGCCGAAATTCTTTGCTTCTTGGCCGACTAAGCGACGTGGTGCTTGCACCGAGCCACTTCGACCAACTGCCGCCGCAGCGGAGGAGCCTTCTTATAATACTCCTTCTTCGAGTTCTGCGTCAGCAGCACGCACATGCCGGACGTGTCAACGCCGGGGCGGCTGGCGCGACCCATCATCTGGAGGACGTCGTGGATCGGGTAATCCACCTGGGGCCACGGTGGCCTCCCCTCGCCCTCCCCCCATACTCTCCCGAGCGATCGCCGCCGCTACCGACTATCGTCAGTCAGTGAGCGATGCATTGTCGGAGAATTCCGCGGAATGGCAGATGAGATACGTCAGCGGGCCAGAGTTGGCTCGCCCGCCTCCTAGTGGCGCGGAAGGCGGGCTACGCCTTCCTGCATGTGCGCGTAGCACAGAAATCACATCTCTTTCTCTGGATGTGTTTGCCCTGGAGGGCGGCTCCAGGCAGGTGCTCCAAAACCAAACAATCCCCGGAAATCCTCCAGGGAGTCCCAGGCACGAATCCCTGGGAAGCTGCAGGACGGGCTTCACGGAGCCCAAGGAGCTCGCAAGGTGGTCCAGAATCCGCAGGAAGTCCTAGGAAGTCCCAAGGAGCCCAGAAACCCCAGTGGAAACCCTAGAAACCCCTGAGGGAACCCTGGGAACGCCCGAGAAACACCAGGGAACCACAAGAAACCAGGAAGCCCAAGGCAGTATTTGGAAACTCTCGGAAGCGCTCAGGACAGCCTCATAAGAGGCCCAGGAGAGAGGCTACGGCTCGAGACTCTTACGAGATCTAATGTCGCATGTTACACCAAACCTATATGTTGCAAGTGTGCGCAACATGATGCGCGGGCCCCATGGGAGGGGCTCCCGCTCAAGACCTCCTCGCAACTGACTCACAGACGAGGCCCCCGCTCGAGACCTCCTTAAGATGACTACGTGCGAGTGAACGTGTGTGTTGTGTGGGCATGGGAGTGTGTGAGTGAGTGCGCGACTGTGCGCGTGAGGGCGCAACTCGCACGACCTGTGAGACTCCGTCAGACCTGTGGGGCCTGTGCCTGGATACCCCAGATAACAGCGAAACCAGAGATTCCAGTGACGCCAAGTTGCCAGGATGAGAACGCAACATCAACCCCTTCTGGGAACACGAACAGCTGGAAATGGCTTACAAGTGGCTCAGGACATTCAAAATCAGTCCAGGAATGCAGTCTGGGAGCACGAACTGCCTAACATTGCCTACAGTTGGCTCCCGACGTGCAACATGAGCCCCAGGAGTGGAGCTCTGGAAACACGAGAAATCCGAAGTGGCTTACAGTAGGCTCCGGACATGCAACATGAAGCGTGGAAATGGAGTTATGGGAGCTCGAAGAGCCCGAGGTGGCCTACGGCTGGCTCTGGAGACTTGAAATCAATACTGGAAGTGGAACTATGGCGGACCGATGATCACGACACCATGTGCTTCAGCAAGTTATCGATGGCCGTCTTTGGTAACAAACACGAAGCGCAGGCTTGAGACTTCTCCGCAACTGACTCACAGAGGAGGCTCCCGCTCGAGACTTCCTCACGATAACTGCATGAGTGCGCGAGTGAGTGTGCGAATGTGCGATGATACTGGTGATGATGAGGATGGCGAGGATGCTACAGATGGCCGGTGAGCATCGTGAGATGGTGATCGTGGTGATGATGGTGGTGTGATGGTGATGGCGAGTGTGGAAGGAGAAGAGGAGGAGCGAGTGAGGTGAGTGGTCTCCTGCGCGGCGGTGTCCGCAGAAAACAAGATACCCACTTAGGACGTAGGAAAACAATAAAACGTGCTCGCGGGCCCCCTGAACATGACCCAACATGTTGCCGCACTGTGTACTGTACACTGTTTGTTTACGGGGATGGCTGGGGGGGGGCCTCATTTGCCCTTGTTTGTCGCTGGCCGCATGGGGAAAGGAGTGTATACTAAAAGGAACAACGGTGAACTCTTCCCCGAAGGGGGAGAAAGGGAGGTGGAAGAGAAAACTCGCTAAACCACCTACGCCCGGAGAGGTGGTGAGCTTTCAGGGCCCTTGCTCTGGGAGCCTCTTGGAGGCCCTGTAGAAACAACTTGGAGCCTAGTTGGGGCAATGTGGAGTTTTCGGAACCCGCTTGGGGGCCTGTTGGGGATGTCTTCGCGTTCTCGGAGACTCTCCAGGGTAATATTGGAGGATGCCAGACACAGAACGGGACCTCGCATTTTAGTGTCTGCTTCTTGGGACCCAAAGTCGCCTCTTGAACCCCTTTTAAGCCGCTCTTGGGCGATTTCGGGGCTGTCCTTTGGGCGCCCCTGGAACTCTCATAGGGCTGCCTGGGAGCATGTTGGTGGCCATCTTGGAAGACACCGATCAAAAATATAGGGGGGGCTCGATTAGCCCCGCCGTTCTAGAACCCCCAAAATCGCCTCGTGGACCCTTCTTGGGGCGTTCGTCGGGCTCTCTGGGGCCATCTTGCGAAGCACCCCCCACGAGGATCGTGGCCCTATAGCCGAAGGCCCCAGTAGCAGCGTTCGCATGGCTGCCCCGAGCCATTTCGGTACACCCCTCACGAGGATCGTGGCCCCATAAGGGAGCTCCACCGAAGGCCCCAGTGGCAACGTTCGCATGGCCCCTCCCGAGGATCGTGGCCCCACAGGGAGCTCCATCGAAGGCCCCAGTGGCAGGGTTCGCATGGCAGTCTCGGGCCATTTCGGCACACCCCTCACGAGGATCGTGGCCCCATAGGGAGCTCCGCCGAAGGCCCTCAGTGGCAGGGTTCGCATGGCGGCCTCGGGCCATTTCGGCACACCCCCCTATGAGGATCGTGGCTCCATAGGAGCTCCATCGAAGGCGCCAATGGCAGTCTCCCTCATGGCTCTCAGAACCCTTTCGTGCTTTTGCCTTTCGGTCAGGGGGGCGCCGTCCTCGCGGTCGCTGGCGCCCGCGAAAACGGCCACAAACGTGTCCCTGAGCATGTCGGGCCCAGGCGGGAAGCCGTGGCCGCATAGGGAGCGCGGGCGAAGTTGGCATTCACAACTGCTGCATCCACAATTGCGTGCCCCTGAGCATGTCGGGCCCAGGCGGGAAGCCGTGGCCGCATAGGGAGCGCGGGCGAAGATGGCATTCACAACTGCTGCATCCACAATTGCGCATGGTTGGGTCCTTCGCCGGGCTAATTTCTCTGGGACTGAAAATTTCAAAAATCTAAATTAGCCTGGCGAAGGACCCAACCATATGCAGTTGTGAATGCCGCAATTGTGCTGGGTGGTGGCGGACGCATGCGGGCGGTGTCGCTGGGACCTTCGGTGGAGCTCCCTATGGGGCCACGAAACGCTGTACTGGGTGGGTGAGACGCGGTCAGCAAGGGCTGTGCTGCGTGGTGGCGGACGCATGCGAGCAGTGCCACTGGGACCTTCGGTGGAGCTCCCTATGGGGCCACGAAACGCTGTACTGGGTGGGTGAAACGCAGGCAGGGAGCAAGGGCTGCGCAGGGTGGTGGCGGACGCATGCGGGCGGTGCCGCTGAGACCTTTGGTGGGGCTCCCCATAGGGCTACGACGCGCTGTTCTGGGTGGGTGAAGCGCAGGGAACAAAGGCTGTGCTGGGTGGTGGCGGACGCAAGCGGGCAGTGCCACTGGGACCTTTGGTGGAGCCCCCTATGGGGCCACGAAACGTGCGAGGGGTGTGCCAGAATGGGGTGTGGAACCGCATGCCAGCGCTGCCACTGGGGCCTTCGGTGGAGCTCCCTATGGAGCCACGAAACGTGTGAGGGGTGTGCCGAAATGGGGGGTGGAACCGCATGCGAGCGCAGCAACTGCGGCGTTCGGTGGAGCTCCCCATGGGGCCACGAGACGTGTGAAGGGCTTGCCGAAAAAGGGGGTGGAACCGCTTGCGAGCGCAGCCACTGGGGCCTTCGGTGGAGCTCTCTATGGGGCCACGAACCGTGTGAGGGGTGTGCCGAAATGGGGGGGGAACCACATGCGAGCGCAGCCACTGGAGCGTTCGGTGGAGCTCCCCATGGAGCCACCCACGAAGCGTGTGAGGGGTGTGCCGAAATGGGGGGTGGAACCGCATGCGGGCGCAGCCACTGGGGCCTTCGGTGGAGCTCCCTATGGGGCCACGAAACGTGTGAGGGGTGTGCCAGAATGGGGGGTGGAACCGCATGCGGGCGCAGCCACTGGGCCTTCGGTGGAGCTCCCTATGGGGCCACGAAACGTGTGAGGGGTGTGCCAGAATGGGGGGTGGAACCGCATGCGAGCGCAGCCACTGGGGCCTTCGGTGGAGCTCCCTATGAGGCCACGAAACGTGTGAGGGGTTTGCCAGAATGGGGGGTGGAACCGCATGCGGGCGCAGCCACTGGGGCCTTCGATGGAGCTCCCAAATGGGGCCAAGAGACGTTGTGACGAATGTTTTTGGTCAAGGGGGTTAACCCCAGCCTCCGCGGGCGCAGGCCATGGGGCGTTTTCGGTGGAGCTCCCTAATGGTGCCACGAGACGTGTGAGGGGTTTGCCAAAAAAATGCGGGTGGTACCGCATGCGGGCGCAGCCACTGGGGCCTTCGGTGGAGCTCCCCCATGGGGCCACGAAACGTGTGAGGGGTGTGCCAGAATGGGGGGGTGGAGCCGCATGCGGCGCAGCCACTGGGGCCTTCGGTGGAGCTCCCTATGGGGCCACGAAACGTGTGAGGGGTGTGCCAGAATGGGGGGTGGAACCGCATGCGGGCGCAGCCATAGGCCACTGGCTAACCCAGCGGAGCTCCCTATGGGGCCACGAAAAATCGTGTGAGGGTGGTCCAGAAGGGGGGTGGAACCGCATGCGGGCGCAGCCACTGGGGCCTTCGGTGGAGTTTCCCTATGGGCCACGAAACGTGTGAGGGGTGGGCCCACAAGTGGGGGGTGGAACCGCATGCGGGCGCAGCCACTGGGGCCTTCGGTGGAGCTCCCTATGGGGCCACGAAACGTGCGAGGGGTGTGCCAGAAAGGGGGGTGGAACCGCATGCGGGCGCAGCCACTGGGGCCTTCGGTGGAGCTCCCTATGGGGCCACGAAACGTGTGAGGGGTGTGCCAGAAGGGGGGGTGGAACCGCATGCGGGCGCAGCCACTGGGGCCTTCGGTGGAGCTCCCTATGGGGCCACGAAACGTGTGAGGGGTGTGCCAGAATGGGGGGTGGAACCGCATGCGGGCGCAGCCACTGGGACCTTCGGTGGAGC